CACACACACACACACACACACGCAGAGTCTCAGTTACCCAATCTTCTGAAAATAGTAAACGAAAAATTCCAGAAATATAAACTCAGTCTTGATTTAATGTTTATAGCCCTAAATGATAATGCCCTGATACAGGATATATGTATAAGATATATATCCTATAGGTTATACATGATACAACCTATACCAGGGCAATATATATAGGTACCCATAAATATTTTTGGCGAAGCACTTTTGTTGCATAGCTCTAAAATGACCCTCCCAAATAGCTTTAAAAATGTTTAATGCAGAAAATCTATTTCAAGGAAGGTAAGTGACACTGCTTGTGTAATGTAATCCACGGCATGTAGCCATGTTTTCTTCTAGGAACAGAGCCAATTTGCATCATTATTTGGAGACCAGACACTTTATTAGGACCTTTCTCCAGAAACATGTGTGAAGATCTGAGCAATCCATTTCCTGGCAGCTGACATGAGATAACACACTGGACAAGCAAGGCTTGTGTGCTCTTCTGCACACTGTGTAGTGAGACAAGGCTGGGGCCCATCAGGGACCAACATCTGTCTTGTAAAGTTGAGGAGGCTCTTTTGGAGATCAAGAGGCATGTGAGGATGGAGAGGGGACGGACAGGAAACATTGCCAAAACTTTCCAGTCCTCCCCTGTATAATGGTGAAGCTGTGCTATCCAAAGAGAGTACAGACAATAGGTTTTCATTTGTTTCTCTAGAAATTAAGATGTTTTCTTTCAACACATCCTTTGTCTTCTAAAAGATCTTTAATCATTAGTTTTTGTATGACTGTTGTAACAAATCATTACAAATTTTTGGTTTAAATATAACTCAGGATAACCTTTGCTTAGCTTTTCTTCCTGAAACAAAATTCCTGAGACAGTGAAGAAAAATGGTTAACTATAGTTTTAGAGATTTTAGTCCATAGTTTCTTGGTCCTGGTATGACAGGAGGTCTGGTCACTTTATGGTGGCAAGCAAGCAGAGAACAGGTCTGTTTCCAGTATCTCCTTCAAGGGCATTTCTCTGAGGAACCAACTTCCTATCAAAAGTCCATCTCTAAAAGTTCAAAGTTCTATCACCTACATACCACCACCAAAGAATGGTAACCAAACTTTCAACACAAGAGTCTGGAGAGATATTTAGGAACCCAACCAATTCATCTCCCAATCTGAAGACCTATATTAGAATTTAACAACATCTGAAAACTCTCCATTGAGGCCTAAATGAACATATTCATAAGTTCTGGGCATTCAAATATAAACATCCTTTGCAGGCCATTATTCTACCTACTACAGCCATCATGGTGACTTTAATTATTTCCTTAAAGCATAGCTTACTCACTTTTAAAGCTGGAAGATATAATTCATGAGAATATAGTGAGCTCATACAATAGCATGAAGTAAGCAATAGGTGAATGGCAAAAAGAACAAAAGCATTGTTAGTGGCAGCTGGCAGGACTACTCTTAATTAGCAGTTGCAACTGTCTCCACTATAACCTGAGCTCAGCTGTATTTCCTCTTTATACTTTGTTTTCTTATCTCTAAAGATATAAATTTAAATTTTCCTCATCAATTGCTGACTTTCAGTTTCTGTACTCCCTTACTTGGAAGAAAGTCACTGAAACTTACCTTTCAAGAATGTGGGAGAACTAAACTCCTGCATTAAGCCATGTGGTAGCTACCAATATTCAGGACTCCCAAAAGGAAGATTTGCCTTTTCTCCCCCATTTGTTTATTAAACTATTAGCTTCTATTGAGATAGGGATATTGGTATTTTATTTTTTGGATTATAACCCAATGGCATCTGTATTGATTTGGTTGCCCAAACTATGCAGTTTTTTGACCTGGGGGAACCAAGTATCTTACATAATTCACTGAAACCTCCAAGAATATACTGGAATCAATATGAAGTATTAATACTTTGTAAAATCCCAAACTAAAGCTCAGAGAAAGAAACCTTCCAAATGACCCTTAGCTGCATATGGTGAAGTGGGAATTTATAGATAGTACTCTTAAGAGTTTAATCAATAGGAATAGCACAGTATAACAGAATGGTAGAAAACAAAACCAGATTTTGGAAGAGCTATTTTTTTCAGGATGGAGATCTGTACATAGTGAAGTTTCCAGAGAAGCTATCTGTATAAGAATGGGAAAGAAAGTGTTCAACTTTAGAATTCAGGAATTTCTCCTCTTCACACATTAGAGATAAGCTAACGGGACCAAGAAAAGTGGTATTGTGAAAATGAAGTTACAAAGGACAGGGAGGGCCCTCAGTTTTTATTGGTAAAACTGGAAGCAGTCATCTTCTCAGTGAGTAACTGGCACTATCACTCAGGTAGCCATCACCCACAGGCCAGTGTTTGACAGGTCTGGTGAGAGGGAGAAAAGCTGGAGTCATTCATGGTGATGGAAATCATTGGACCGCATACCCAGGAATAATAAATTCCAGTTATGCATTGCCTGACAAGAAATGTGAGGCAAACATCAGAGTACTTCATCCAAAGCTAGGGGATATGGCCCCCCTCACACTCTTCTGGTACTGACACTCTTCTGTGTGCAGACTGCTGTTGACGGAAATGTCACTATGTGGTGAATGATAGTTAAAATCAAGTATTTTTAGGTAATTCGTAGTGTGTGAGACTCCATCTCTAAAATTATCCTGCAAAAAACAAGGCTAGAGGTGTGGATTCAGTAGTACAGTGCTAGCCAAACAAGCAAACTGAGATATTTTGAGGTCCTGAGTTCAAATCCCAGTAACTGCCAAAAAAAAGTTTTGTGAATTACTGATTCAACATACAGATACTGTTCCTTGTCTTCATCTAACATGGTTATAATGCTACGTACTTCCATTTCTTTCCTTAATGTGGACCAGAAAGAGAAAAATGACAATATTCAAACTTTGTGATTATTTTATTACATATATATTATTGCATACAATTTTGGTAAGTAAGGATACTATAAATCATATTTTATATAAAAATTATGCATAGCATATATAAGCAGTAACATTTTGAAGGACAGAAGAAAAACTATGAAAACAGTCACCTAAAATTTATTAACACTGAAAAATGCTAGTTTGTGCACAGGAATGATTGAAAGCTTGATGGTACAACAGAACACTGGTTCATCTGCAGATACTGTAGGAACAACCTAGTTTGAGAAAAGTTCATATCTGTCCACATCTTTAGGTGCACACATTACCAAAAAATAAATCAGTCAATAGAGCAGTATTCTAAATATTCTTTCTCTGGCACTTAGCCAGAGAATACAGACAAGAGTGTATTTGGTTTAATGTGATTTTATTATTTGGATATTTTACTTGTTTTATACAAATAAAAATATCATATTGATTTTAAAACCTTTGAATTTTGGAAGTATATAATCAATTGTCATCATATTCACAATTTTAGAAGATTTTTTTTTTTTTTAGTGGTAATGGGGCTTGAACTCTGGACCTGAGAGCTGTCCCTTGGCTCTTCATCTCAAGCCTAGGGCTCTACCACTTGAGCCATGGTGCCACTTCTGGCTTTCTGGTGGTTTATTGGAGATAAAAGTCTTTTCCTGCCTGGGCTGGCTTTGAACCATGATCCTCAGATCTCAGCCTCCTGAGTAGTTAGGATTATAGGCGTGAGCCATCAGCGCCCAGCTAGAAGATTATTTTTTAATAAAACAATTTACCCAATAACATGTGGAAGAGAATATCAAAAATGGTTTACAAAAAGTTTTAATGAGATATTTAAATGTAAAAATAGAACATCAATCTAGACTACTAGTCTAAATACTTAGCGATAAACTCATACTAAGGACAAATTATGAAATGTTTTAGATATATTTTTTCAACACTTAATCCTAAAATTCAAAATTTTAATTGAAAATGCAAAAAACCTGATATTTTATATGAAGCTGTTTTTATACACAATATATTTTAAAATGGAACATATTAGCTGGGCACTGGTGGCTAATGTCTATAATCCTAGCTACTTAGGAAGCTGAGATGTAAGGACTGTGGTTCAAAGCCAGCCCAAACAGAAATGTCCATGAGATTCTAATCTTCACTTAACCACCAAAAAACCAGAAGTGGAGCTGCAAAGTGGGAGAGTGCTAGCCTTGAGCAAAAAAATCTCAGGGACAGTGCTCAGGCCCTGAGTTCAAGCCTCAGGACCAGCACACAAAATATATATACAATATGTATATATGTACATTTTAATACTACATCTTAGTGTAGGTTTCTATGAAAATTTTAAACTATATACATAAAACCTGTGTAGGCTCTTCAGAGGCTATACTGAAGTAAAACAATGGCCAACAGTGGCATTTTCCTTTATTTATTTGAAGACAATAAATTTGACAGGTGATTTGCCTTATTGGAAATAAAGGTCATTATATCATAAAAAGAATTTAATGTGTAAAGGTACACATATTAACTGAAAATAGTTCATTATCTAATTTCATAAGAAGACACAGTGTTAAAAATATATAAAACTCAAAATTATTATGTGCATGTATAAGTATGGCCCAAACATCGTACACATAATTTTGTTCTGTATGTCTATACAGTGTACCACCATTTCATTCCTTACCATCCTTTGCTCCAAACATTACTATCTTCAATTCTAACACTCCCCAAATAGGAGAAAAACAAAGTTTCCACTGCTTTAAAAAGTGAAATTCATAAAGTCAATACATTAAAAAGGTTTATAGATCCAAGATAGTTTTTAAATTTATACACATTGAAGTGCTTTAACTAAAAGCTGCACATAAATCCACTTCTCTTCATTGCAATGTCATACATAAACACAGCTCATTTGACTAGAGATTTTTTACATTGCAAAATATTCCTATTCTTGTGGATATTGCAAGAATGATTTTTTTTAAAGATTTAGATAGACTTCAGAAAAATCTACCTTTTTCTTCCAAAGAAAAAAACACTGTTGAAATTTAAGTGCTACGATCCTAATATTTATGCAATAATTTTAAGGTAATTTTTGGAAAGAGAATTGTCCAACATAAGGCACGTAGCAACATTTAAAGTCTAAAAGCAACTATTGTACATAATAAATAATTATCTTTTCAAATCACTATTTTGCCTTACCTAAAGAAAATGGGTGAGTAGTGCAGTTAAAACATGCCTAGAATAAAAATGATTCGATGGAGGAAATACAAGTAATATTTGTGTGCAAAAGGATGTTAATATATAAAGGGAGAATATTTAATATAAAATACACATCCTACAGAGCTACAGGTAAGAAGGTGAGGCACTTAGACTGATAGTGCAGGAAGGTATTGAGATTACCATTTTACAAAAGCACCAAACCATTAATTTCCACACTTAGGTAACAGCTAAGAATTTAGGTAAGTATGTAAGTTTTACAACTGTATTTGGTATAATGAGAATTCAAAATCAAAACTCAAAGTACTTCATTTTTATTCTGACAGCAGTAAGTCACATCAAGTCTTCTGAGAGAGTGGAAGATAATGAATGCACTTGGTGACTCCTGTGGTGCTGGCTGAGTAATATGAACTCAGAAGGCATCTTTACACAGATGTGTGCTTCTATTTCAAAGATTACCGTGTATAAAATGGACATTTAACTCAGGTTCTACAAACAAATATTAAAATTTGGTTTGGAAGAACAGTGCTGATATGTCCAACAATAGCATTACTTTTGTGATCCACCACAAACTAATTTGATACAAAAGTGAAGACGAAAATCAGGTTTGGAGTTAGAGGAATCTGCTGGAAGTTAGGTGAGGGAAAGGTTTGGCATCTGATGGATGAGTAAGGGGCTGAAGATGAGGGGCAGTCTGCATGTGACTCATGTTATTTAAGTCAGCTGGGAATGTTTCATTTACTCCTCCAGTCTGAAACTAGAAAACAGAAATAGCAATGCAATTTATTAGGACAGGTCTTCCAAATTTCTTATACCATTAAATAATGTGTGAACATATATATTTAAAAACTATCCCTGCAAGTTATGTCTCGAATTCCTTTACTGTTAATTACTTTTAAATCTTTCAGTAAGTGAAGACATACTGTATTAGTTCCATTTTGAAACTTTTTCCTTTTTCCATTCATTTGCAAAACAGTTTTGAAAACACAGTTGAATTATACACTTGTCTCGCTTGAGACTGCCTTTGTGTTGGATAAAGTTTAAGGATCTAAGGTAGCAGTGAAAATCATGATAAATAGTCTCTGACCTACTAGGTTTGCTTTGACCAGTCAAATCCCTGATATCAAATATCTTTACTATCTGGTATCAATGGACTGATTATAGTCAGGGCTACTACACTGGACTCTTAATGACCTCCCCAAAGAGCAAGTTCCGATTTTCTAATGATGTCTTGATTTTCCAAAAGGAATATTAATATTTCTTTATCAAACTTTACATTTATTTATAAGATATTTTTAATTACTGAATATCACTAAAAGCAATGCCCATGTGATTCAAGTTACAATACCAAAATTCTCGTCTTCTTAAACTGAAGTGGAGATGTATAGTTCTGTAGTACTTTACACTGTAATATATAGTTAGTGAAAGTTGTAGAAACTTTCAGATTAAAATCACATCTTTATTTGTGTCAAATAAAATTTACTTTTCTAAAGCCCATATAACATTAAGCTTCACTAATCAAAACACTGGTTACTTAAGAGCCCTTAAATATATACTAAAATATTCAATAATAACAGAATCTGTATCTCCTATAAGTGCCAGCTCTGTTAGGCATTCAGAAAGAAAAGACTGGGCTTAAGTGCATTTTCTCCTCACTTATCACTCACAGCACAGAGCACATCAGTCAGAGTATACCCTACAGAACTACATTCATGCTGTAGCTCTTGTAGCCCCATGAAGAAAAGGCAAAATGAAACCAGTTAAATTAACTGTACATTTTATTAAACCTAATAAAGGCAAAATAATTTCAACATGAAATTATTTTCTTAAATTTCAGTGTTTTGTCATTCCTTTTTCAAGTTAAGTCGGAAACTGTGGTTTGTATTTCACACTTTCAGCACATGTCAATATGGACCATAGAATAACTCATCAGTCAAATGTAACAGTGGTTATCCAGAGAATATGTATGGCCACAGCGATGTTCTTTTATTATGCACAAAGAAGCAAAGAAAGAAGAGCACGGTGGTACACTGTAAAACTCATGTGGCCCTGTTAAAGCTAATTTTATGTAATAAACTTCTGTATGATTTACTCGAGTAAAGTTTAGTGAGGTAGGGTACAATTCAATTCAATTGTACTGACTACTCTGAACTCAAGGTCTTGTACTTGCTTGACTGACTTGCTTGCCTGATGCTCTACCATTTGACTCCTATTCTCCAACCCTGCTTTTTGCTCATTATTTTGGAAATCAAGAGTCTCATGAACTTTTCTTCCCAGCTATCTTCAAATAGAATACCTCCTGAGTAGTTATGTGTCTGGCATACTTTTTATCCTTTTTAACTGGTAAAATAATTGTTATATTAATGGTTTACAATATACAAGATATGTTATGACCATTAATTAGCATACATGTTATCTTGAACAATTATCACTTATTGTGTTTCAAGAAAACCTCTGAAATATTTTCTTCTAGCTATAGTCACTCTACTATGCTACAGAACAAACTTATTACTGTTATATATTTGTACTAAGAACCTCTATCTTTCCTTCTAGCCTCTGGTAACTTTCATTATACCGTTTACACATCTGAGTGAGCTTAGATAGTATTTGCCTCTGTGTCTGGTTAATTTCATTTTAAAAAATAGCCTACTGTTTCATCTATGTTGGCACCAATGTCAGGGTTTCATCACCTTTTATGACTAATATTCCACTATATAGAATAATATTCTTCTCTATCACATTGTCTTTATCCTGAATATTAAAATGTAATATAGTTGAAGGCTATCAGTAGATAAGGTAAAATTTTTACCATCATTTTGTTAATAAAGCTCATGTATCATCAGACAAGCCAAATTTCTGAGTCATAAAATACAAGGGATAAAGATTCAAGTTGTATTTTTAAATTACTACACTCAGACACTGTAAAGAGGTCAATGTACTAAATTTTAGTCAAGATCTTCAAGATCAAACTTAAGTATATTTTACAATGAACTAAGTTTTTTTTAATAACAGAAAGGCATCATTGTAAACATAATATTCCTACAGGCCATAGAGAGCAACTATTTGCATTATGTAAACTAATATAAACTATTTAAAAAATTTTAGATTTCACATTTACCTGTAGTAGAAGGGTTCTGATGATGCATTTATATAGCTGCAATATATATAACTGCAATTTTTATTCTTTTATTGTATATTTTTTATTGTAAAAATATTGTACAGAGGGGTTACAGTTACATGAGTAGGGTAATGAGTACATTTCGTAGTAAGCATTGTTACCTCCTCCTTTGTTTTCCCCCTACCATCACTTTCTTCCCCACCTCCCCCACTCCACCAGCCCCCTCCACCCCAACAATGTGAAGTTCGTTTTCAACATAGTGTCCTGTACATCTAATCGTCACAATGAGTCAACCTGTATCCCCATTTAAGCATTCCGCTATATCCCTTCCCCTCCCAAAAATACAACAATGTATTTACAAGATGCAGAACACCGGCATCAAATCCAGTGAAAATAGGGGTTATACCTTGGGGGAAGAACATACAAAAGAAACAAAAGAATCCCATAGTGCATTATAAGTACATTAAAAAGAAAAAAAACACTTGTGTCTCTGTCTTGGGGTATATTTTGCTTAACATTACATAACTGCAATGTACACAACTGCAATATCAAGTTACTTTTCAAGGAATGCCATAAAACCTAGCTACTTGGAAGATACTGTTTGGAAGGATTATGGTTTGAGGCCAGACAAAAAGTTAGCAAGACTTCATCTCAGCAAACAAGTTGGGCATGGTGGAATAAGTCTGTGATGATCACAGATATGTGGGGAGTCATAGGTAACTGAGGCTTGCACCAGACAAAAACACAGTCTTTACCTGAAGAATAACTAAAAGCAAAAAGGGCTGCAATTGTGGCTCAAGCAGTAGATCCCTTGCCTTACAAGGACAAGGTTCTGAGTTTAAATCTCAAGTAGTACTGAAAAACCAAGCAAGCAAGCAGAAAAAAACCTCTATCTTAAAGAATCAAATGAGGATAGAGCAAATAACATACAAGAATAGCCAGCAAATAATCAAGGGTCTGGGGATGGATCCTACAGATAATTCATGACACTGGCTTACTTTTTAGACTCTCCAGAAGAGCCAGAAAGGGTATCTCAGCTCTATTGCCATAGCAAAATGTCACAGGTTGGCATTTTCTGTGAGTTCTAGAGGCCAAGGATCCACACCCAGAACCAGCAGGGTGTGTGTGTGATAAGGACTCCTCCTGGAGTCATCTCACTGAGTACTCAAGACCTCTTCATTGTGTGCATGAGGGAGGGAGAGATGGAGGAGAGTAAGCAGAGAGACAGAGGGAGGGAGGGAATAGCATAAAAAAATAGCAAACCAAATGAATGGTTTGTTCTGTTTGTTGTTCTGTGCCAAGGATGAAACTAGGGACTCACGCTAGCTAGGCACATACTCGGTCACTAAATTGAACCTCATCCTGGTCCCTTCTTAAAAGAGCACTAACCCATCATGATGGCCTTACCCTGCTAATTACTCTCTCTCAGAAGTCCCACCTCCAAATAACATCACACTGGGGGTTATGGATTCAATGCAAGCGTTTAGGAGGCATAATCCAGTCCACAGCATATGGCTTCAAAGGAGACCTGAGCGATTTGATCCCATTCCGAACACAGGTGAAGAAATTACTTTGAAGAAATAATTTCTAAATATTCAGATCTATTTTGTAAACCTTGTATTTTTAAAAAGCTCTGTATTTGTAAAATAATCAAGAAAAACAACAAATCCTCTGTTAAAAACCAACTTCATGTAGTGATTTAGGTCATTTTACATATTCATGCTTCTATGACCATTGATTTCTTTCTCTTTCAAAGAGATACAGACATAAAAACAATCATAGATAGAATTACAAATGCCATCTCCACAAACCTTTCGGATAACAGAATAAAATAAGTCACAGGCATAAAAAATATCTCGTGTATATTTTTATAGGTGAGAGGAATCATAGAAAGATTGTCTTCAGCTCTATCAAACCCTTACCTTGTTCAAGAATGCCTGTGGGCCTGGGAAAGTTGGGTTGTATGGCATCTGCTCCATGTGGGTGTGTTGAGGGGCTGGCTGGCATTGATACATTGAATTGGTCCCAGCATAACATGTCTGGGGAGTTATGATGGTTGACTGGGAATTTATTCCAGGCTTTTGGTTTTCAGGAACTTGTAAACAAGTGACAAAATCTTCTAAATTAGAAGAAGGAGTAGGGTAGAGGGATGGTTCAAAGTTCTCCATGGGAAAGTCCAACTGTGTACACTTGGAATGTTGTGGTAAAACAGACTGATTACAGGAAATGAAGTTCTGTGTGTAAGGCATAGTGTCAATCTCAGATTTGTAGGGGAACTCTTGATGAGCCCCTTGTAAATCTGAAAAAACATTGCAGTGTTGTAGGTCTTGCTGAGGACAACTGAAGGGCATGGACTGATCAGAGTTCCAATTTGCAAACATGCCATTAACTTGCATATTCCTCATTTGCTGGCACAGTTGTTGCTGGGGCTCTACCACCACCTTCTTCTGCTGTTGAGGGTACTGGCATAGCTGCTGCTGCTGCTGCTGCTGCTGCTCTAACTGCAGGCGTTCCTGTAGCATACAACTTGAGTTCAGACCCACAGGCTGCTGTTCTTGGTAATCTGCACTCTGGAAGGAAGACTTATTTAAGGAATCTTGGACATAGGTTAGAATTTCATCTGTTAGGTCAATGTCTCTAAAGTCAACCTCACTAGAAAAGTCATTTCCGAAAAATTCTTCATTCTGCATCTGTTTGATATCTTCAAAATCAATGCCTAGGTTTTTCATAGTGTGGTATAATTCACTATTTTTATTATCTGGAAATAGCCCTGTGTGACCTCCAGAAAGCGTTGGGTTAATTTCCTGAGATTGTCCGATGTGCTCATGTTTCAGAATGGTAGCATTTTCCATTGGTGCAATACTGTTTTGCCAATTACCAAATTCACTCATAGAATCCTTAAAAACGCTTTCTAAAGGTGTTGTGTTTGAAGCAGGATAGAGGTAAATGGATTGATCCTGTTGCATCATGGAGCCCAGAAGGGAACTGGGATGGAGTGAATCCTTATTTAGAGTCGATTTGGTAGCACAGTCTCTTCCACTAGTGTTGCTGCTCTTAGTCCTTACTGGTAAGGGATCCATTACAGTAGGAAATGGACTGGTTAACTCATAGAGCATAGCTTCTCCGGTGGTAAACATAAAAGGCAGGGTCAAATTCCGTTTTTGTAAATGATCTCTTCCTTCTTCATCTCTAAAAGTATGTACAAGAATGTCTGCATGTATTAGTTTTAACATAAACATTTTTAACAAGATATAAAACATTTTAAAGTAAAATATACCAAAACTGAATTTGGCAGCACTGAACATGGACTTTTTCAGTTGAACAACTTTTTTAATTGTTCTCATTAACTGGCAGAAAATGTATTTAAATTATGTGGAATTTTCTTCCAAAACTTAGTATACTATTAAGTCTTTGCTTAGGACGCGTATGCCCCTAACCTGACCACCAACAGAAAAAAAATAATTTGTATGTATTCTAACTGTGACAACAAGCAGTCAGAATTTAGGAGCAGGGTAGAAGAGTCATGTCTAAATAAAACAATAATACATAGAAAACTCCAGAAATAGGAATTATGAAATTCAAAATGTTTTATAATTTCACAAATTCATAGATCCAGTTAACATATGAAGAAAACATTTTCAATATGGATTAGTATATTTATAACATGTGAGTATAAAATTTCATATCTGTCACAAGAACTCCAATGAGTCTGACAGGCAAACAAGTCAATAGAAAAAGGGGCAAACAGTATGAATTAGCAATTCTTAAAAGAAAAATGTCCTAGGAGATGTAAAGAAATGTCCTGTGCTTCCAGTAACTAATGGAACAAGCACACAAAGTATCCTCAAATACATAAATATGAACAACACAATGAACAAATTAGACCACTGATTCAGATATATGAAGAACATTGTATTTCTACCCAAGAGGACATGTATTATTTAGAAGAGCACATGGGATATTTTACCAACATTTGACTATATATCAGATAATAAAACAAGACGTAAAAGGATTTCAAAGGGCTAAAATCATTAAAAAGGACTGACAGCCTTTTAGAAAAAGACAATAGAATTAAGGTAAAAGTTAATCCCCAACAACAAGGGAAATCTATCAAAAGGCATAGCACTCTAAGAAATTAAAAATTAGAAAAAATACTTTCAATCAACAGTAAGAGATATATTAAGTATGAGGGTTTGTTAACTAAAATTGTAGAAAGTAAAACTGCAATGATTAAATTTACATTAAAAATTAGAAGTATGAAAAATAGCAAATTATCCTCAAATAAAAGAAGATATCAACAGACATAAATAAAATAGAAAATGGAAGTACAGTAGAAATTTTTTTTTAAGATGAAGCCAGAAGAAACTAATAACATTGCTAATCTTTTAGCAATACTGGAAGGAAACAAATCTGTTTTGATATAGAGGATATACCCTTCCACATATATACATATATGCACAATACTCACATATGCACATTCATACATTTATCATGTTAAGGGTCAGAAGATGCTAATTCTCCCCTACATTATCTATATTTCAATGTCATTCTATCAAATTTCAGTAATTTTGGGGGAAAAGTGACAAGATGAGCCAAAGCAATCTTGAAGGATAATAACAACAAAAACTAAATGAAATGTTGGCTCATGCCTATAAGCACCACTCAGGTGGGTAAGATCTGAGGATTTCAGTCCAAAGCCAGCCTGGGCAGGAAAGTCCATGAGATGGCCAATTAACCACTGAAAAAACAAAAGTGGAACTGTAGTGGTAGAGGGTGAGACTTAAGTGAAAAGCCTAGAACAATTCCCAGGCTCTGAGTTTAAGCCCCAGAACTGGCATTTAAAAAAAAAAAAAGAAGAGGAGAGGAGAGGAGAGGGGGAGGGGGAGGGGAGGGGAGGGGAGGGGAGAGGAGAGGAGGGGAGGGGAGAGGAGAGGAGAGGAGGGGGAGAGGGAGAGAGGGGAGAGAGGGGAGGGAGGGGGAGGGGAGGGAGGGAGGAGCTGGGCATGTGGCTTAGTGGGTAGAGTACTTGTTTAGCTCTCTGAGACTCTGAGTTCATTCCTTGGTACCACATTAAAAAAAATAAATAGAACAATTGTTTTTTAAAAAAAGAGAAAGGACAGAAAGCCAAACAAACAAAATGAAGAAAGCTAAACAAACAAAATGAAGACATTTATCCAATGTAACCAAAAGTAGTAACTATTTTAGAATAATGTATTGTCACAAAATAGACACCTAGGTCAACAGAGTCTGAAACAACACTACAGATAAAATCCTCTAATCAACATACAGTATAGTGACATAGCCTTTCAATAAATCCCATTTTTAGTAAATGTTACTGGTCAACTGATAAACCTAAAGGGAAAAAGTCTGTAGTGATCCTTCTTTAAAACACATACCAGAAACAATTCTCCAGAGTAGGAGAAGTATTTATGATGCAAAATTTGAGAGGATTCCTTCATTTGAAAGTATTCTTGCTGGGCACTGGTAGTGGCTCACACCCATAATCCTAGCTACTCAGGAGGCTAAGATCTGAGAATCACTATTCAAAGCCAGCCTGGACAGAAAAATCAATGAGACTCTTATCTCCAATTAATCACCAGAAAACTGCAAGTGTTGCTGTGGCTCAAAGTAGTAGAATGCTAGCCTTGAACAAAATTGCTCAGAGACAGCACCCAGGCCTGAGTTCAAGCCTTACAACCCCAACAACAACAACAACAACAACAAAAACCCAAGCGAACAAAAAATAAGTGTTCCTTTCAAATATTTCAAGATTTTGAGAGAACTCCTTTCTAGAACATGTAATGAACCCTTACACATCAGTTTGTGTTTAGAAAACACATTCTAAACAAAACATTGGTTCCATTTTCAAGATTGTAGTAGCTTTTCAATCTTTCCTTAAACTGAAGGATAATACTTTGTTTTCTTTTATTATTTTCACTCTGCAGATCTACATATTTACCCGCTCAGTAAAATTTGTTCCTACTTGTTTGCTTGATATCTCTCATATGAGCCCCATATTTCTCTCTCTCTATATTAACATATTATTATAAATTCATATAGGAGGACTTATATACCAAATTGTTACCAAAAACAAAACCAGGAATCATTTTATGTATTTATGCTTACGTTAGAGGTCTCTGAGTTGCGATGATATAATCTGGTCGCCCATTTTTATAAACTAAGCGTGCATTAGACTGGACCCATGTCCATCGATTGTGTTTTGCAAGAAGTCTGAAAACGGTCATGCCACTTTCTCCAGTCTTAATCACTACAATAAAATTGTTAAAAAATCAAGTTACTAAACCCCAAATCAGTGAAGAAGACCTCTGAAATGAAACCTCTCAGACATATTTCTAGGTGTATTTCATGTAGTACCAATTCAATGTTTTGACCATTTTTAAGCACCATATACTGAATCTGAAAGGGGAAGAAACAATTTTTCAAGGTTGGATTTTTCCTACTTCAGACTAAACATTAAAAATGTTAAAAGAAAATTAAGGACCAAATGATTTCAGTAAACATGAAGTACAGGAAAGTTTGACCTAGGTGAAAAATAAAAATAAATTGTTTCCACTGAAGCAAGGGATATTTTGCCATAAGCTCAGTATTTCCCAAACTACAGTAATAAAGATTTATGCTCATTAAAAGGTTTTTGCTCATTAAATATGAGCAAAACTTCTTGTACACTTAAACTTGTCTTTTCATAGTCATTAATTTACTATATTCCTAGTGGTAGAGTTCTTAAAATAAAAGCTTAACTCTGGTTAATCAAAATGATATCTAATGTAATTATTTGGAGTATGTATTAGAGTACATGCTATATTTGGAGGTGTTTCTAAGGAACAACAACTTACTTCGGACATGTAATTCAGCACAATACAGCATGTCAGCTGCATGGACGAACTGATATCCTGAACCTCTTGCACAAAGCTCGGCTTCTGTGTATCCTAAAACAATTTGTCCTCTTTTTGTAAAGGTAAAATAAGATTGAATTACAATTTAACATAAATAACCATGATCAATTGATAGCTATAGTCTATTTCCTATAACATGACATTCAAAATTTCTCATTAACAGTTAGAAAGACCAACCATATCTATATAAAGTAGTTCTTTTGCTTATACTTATAAGTTTTAACCAGAAAAAAAGAACACTATTATGACTAAAATGTATCTAACAGGACATATTGTAAAACATCTTGGTGAAGAGAGATTGTCAACTTACCTCACAGCATCCTCACAAAGTAGAAAAGCATTTATACATTTTGGTATGAATAAATATAACTGTATTATGTAATTTTTAGGAAGTTACTCAACTTCTAGTAAACAATATTTGCATAAAATATAAAACCAGTAAGAAGTGTTATCAGAATTGAGTCTTAAAAGTATCATCAAAAACTAAAAAATAACAGGATGATTTGTGAGCCTGATGAAATTACCTTACTTTAAAATAAGATATACTGCAAGAATACAAAATAGTAATAGTTGTATAAGAATAAATCATTAAGAGCTGAGGGACAGCGCCCAGGCCCAGAGTTCAGGCCCCACGACCGGACCCAAAAAAAAAAAAAGAATAAATCATTATATCTTAGGGGGAAAGAGAGTCAGGGGAGTAGAAAGTGGGGGAAAAATATTCAAAAGAAATGTACTCATTATGTTACTTATCTAACTGTAACCTCTCTATATATCACTTTTACAATAAAATTTTTAAAGTATAAATTATAGAACCTACACACTATTTTTCACATAATAAGGGAAACATGCAAAAACAAAATACACATTGAAGAGATAAAAGCAAGCAGCTCTTACTTAGCATCACAACCAGTTGGTGTGAAGTCCAGTTTGTGTTTTGTTCTAAAGATAAAGTTTTTGGTTCGAATTTCCAGTATGGATGGGGGCTGAAGTGGAGTAGCAATTGCAAACAAAGCCAACTGAGGAGGAAGCATAGATCCATCCTTCCCTTTCTTGTTCTGTCCATGAAGATACTTTAATTTCCCTTGGAAATTCATTGCCTTAAACAACCAAAAATAGTTCATTAAAATATACAGTCTAGGGGAGCAAGAGAAAGGAGGGCTAATGAAGTAAGACAGATGGGGTGACTTTGATAAAAGTATTTAATATGCATATATTAAAGAATCACAATGAAACCCCTTTGTACAGTTAATTTAGGCAAGCAAAAAATTTAAAGTAAGATTGACAGTAGTTTTGTTTTCAGTGTTTCCATTATAGCTAGATATTGCAAGGAAGGTCCTAAAGCTGAGAACTGTTGTTTCCTTACACTCTGCATGGGACAAGAAGCACAAGAAAACTACCCCAGAAAGTAGCATGAGGGATATTTTTAAGAGAATGGTACATGAACCATTCCTTGCCTCTGGTGCTCATAACTGGAGCATCATTTTTGCCTACCACAGTTCTTTTAACACTTGGCACTCGAAATGCATCTTCAGAATGACTGAATGCTGGTAAAGCCATCAAGTAAGCATTAATTTTAAATATGCAGGAGCCATGCTTAATTCTGAGAATCTTTCCTATAGAAGCAAATTCAATTTATTAAAACACTACAAAGAGATATTTTAAAACTATATAAAGAATGCAACACTTTATTAGAGTAAAAATAATCAATCATTTTAGAAGACAGTAGAAAAACAGATTTTAAACAAGAACATGATCAACATACTTATCAATCAGCCAAGAGATGATTGTTAATCTGATAGCAGCAGAAGGTAAAAATAACCTTTTATATCCCAATATGATGCTAATTTGAGCACCAGTACAAAGCACAACTCTAACTCTAGGTCAGCATAACTATTTTTAGAAATAAACACATAAATAAATAGCATTGCTTAGTAGTGCTTAGGCTTAAAATTTGATTATCTACTCCAAAAATCCTGATAACATATGCAAAGAATATATAACAAACTTTTTATTCTCTTCTCCTGAAGAAAATTAGGGAAGAGACTACTACATTCTGAGTATCCTCCTAAGGCTTCTTCTCTATCATACCCCACACAGACGTTTAGTCCATTCACATCAGGCTTATGCATAGCTCATGATGGTTCTGTAGTCCATAAATGTGCATTGTTTTCCTATGTGAGAGTTATTACATATATGGATGCACTTAAAATTTTCTTGCGTAGCAATCACTAAGCCCCAATAAGGTAAGCATCTTCCTATTAAAGAAGAGCTATATTAAAGAAGAGCTAGCTAATTATCTTCACCTTAAAATGTCCCCCCAATAGTCAGAATACAGGTTCCATGTTATTTCACTCAAATTTTCCACTGTATCCTAAAAGGAGAAGGTGTGTGTGTGTGTGTGTGTGTGTGTGTGTGTGTGTGTGTGTGTGTGTGTGTGTGTGTGTGTGTGTGTGTGTGTGTGTGTGTGTGTGTGTGTGTGTGTGTGTGTGTGTGTGTGTGTGTGTGTGTGTGTGTGTGTTCATTCTGGGCTATAAAAGATATTCAAAGTCTGAAATAATTATTTTAAAGATTTACTTTCCTATACCCAATTTTTAAGGAGATAGGTAATTTTTAAAATTGAATTCAAATATGAGCAAAGAATATTAACTTTATTTTTTGTTTTCTATTCTTTATAGTAAAAGAATCATATAATTGTGTACCTTACCAGAAAACCAGATGAATTGTTCAGCAGACACCTTAGCCGGCATATGAAGCACCTCTCCATAAACGGAGAGTTTTCTGGAGGAAGCTGTTCTGAGGTATAATAGACTCCTGCCTGTGTTAGGCCATGAGCTTCTGTAGAAATAAAAGCAACACAAATTTTACATATCATTTTGCTATAAAAATTTGACTAGTTAAAACTTGTGTTAATTCCTTCAATTGGAGTATATATATAAAATAGAAAAATCATGCCGGGCACTGGTGGCTCACCCCTATAATCCTAGCTACTTAGGAGGCTGAGATCTGAGGATACGGTTCAAAGCCAGCCCGGGCAGGAAAGGCCATGAGACTCTTACGTCCAATAATCTACCAGTAACCAGAAGTGGCGCTGTAGCTCAAGTGGTAGAGTGCTTGCCCTGAGCTGAAGAGCTGAGGGACAGTGCCCAGGCTGAGAGTTCAAGCCCCACAACCAACCAAAAAAAAAAAAAAAGAAAAGAAAAATCATTTTCAAAAGTGATTCAAATAACCAAAATGTATTTACTGGTTTTGTTCGGTGGTACTCTGGACAGAACTCAGTTTACTAAAGACCCTACCACTTGAGATAGCCCACTCCTTATTCTTTTACTTTGTTTTCTGGTAGTGTCTTGTGCTAACATTGCCTAGGCCGGCTTTCAATTATGATTTCCCTACTTCCACCTCCCACAGGCATGGATCACCTTGCCTGTCTCACAAAAACATACTGAATAATAACACTTTTGTCACACAGAACAGTACTTGATTTTTCTTATTATTGAGTTGTAACTGTTAACAGTTTTCATATTTTCTAACACTTTTCTTTTTTAAACACTTTCAAAGATTTCTGACAATACTACTGATGTAAGAAAACATGTTTTTGTACTGCTAAATTACTTTTTAATTGGTGCATTTTAATCAACAATTTATATTCACTTTCATTTCAACCTTACACATTCTTTCCAGTTTTCAGGATGGAACCAGAGTTATTTTATTAAACTCAGTATACATTCCTGTATATATGCCAACACTCCTGTGTGAAATTCCTCAATGGCTCCCATCTGACAAAGGTTATTCAGATCACCAGGTCCTGTAACCAACTCTGGCTCAGAGCTAGACTCATTTCTACTTTGTTTCTTACCTTCAGCAGAATGGCCTATGCTGCAAAGGTTCCCAGCCTCTCCTTTCACCAAAGGATATCCAAATAACCAACACCACAATCTTTTGGTAAACATTCTTACCATCAATTCCTTGTCCAGACTCTTGTGGAGGGTTTAATGACCAATGTAACTGACGTTGAAATTCAGCTCGATCTTCAGTATGGATAAGTTCATACACACTCTGATGTATGACATCAGACTAAAGAAAAAATGATACAAGGAAATAAAAGTTCTGACGAAACAATGCAATGGCTTGGTAAAACAGTGTTAAGTCCTATCTAGATTAGTGGACGCTTGTTAATGGTGATGAATGCAAATCCAAAGAATGTCAAAACTTCCTGGTCATCCAAAATAGGAAAAGCTAAAAAAGGAGACTTGCATTATAACTGATGGGTTCTGTTATTTGCCATAAATTCAAAACATGAATGTTCAAATGTCACCTCTACTCTACTTAAATACACCATATTAAAATCTGCACAAGATTCTTATCCATTGACTCATCTTGTAAATCCCTGTAAATCAATGAATCTTTCCATGAACACCTAGTCCTGTAATCTTAGTATTACATTATTTCCTTCACAGTTATTAAACGCTTTCTTCCATTAAATTTTTACTGTATTGTTAAGATTGAACAGAATTTTTTTTGTTTTCTTCACTGTTATTAGATGTTTTCTCCCAGTAAATTTTCACTGTATTGGTAATTTCAATAAGATTGTGCTTACACCATATCAGGATCCCTCCTTTCCCTCATTTCTCAGAATCCACTGCAGTGTAAAGCCTTGGTCTTTTTTTTTTTTTTTTTTTTTTTTTTTTTTTTTTGTTGGTCGTGAGGCTTGAACTCTGGGCCTGGGCGCCTGTCCCTCAGCTCTTCAGCTCAAGGCGAGCACTCTACCACTTGAGCTACAGCGCCACTTCTAAGCCTTGGTCTTTAACCTAGTGTTTTTCTAGTTTTTCTCCTTTATTTTTGAAACTGCAACTCATGGTATGAAGAACATTTTTCATCCAACACACATTCAAACATACAAACCCATGGAGAACAGTTTCACATATACTTTTTAGAGTGATAATATTGCAGTCTATATTAAATTCTACCTTAACCAACTAAAAAGAAAGTTTGATAGTGATACACTATCAACAACTGCATTATAACCCACAAATGGGGCATAATCTGTATTTTCAAAAATAGTGTCTTTGTCTACCACTCATGAATATTCAGGCTATGAGTTAAAGTAATTTTAAAAAAGTAAGTTGAAATGCGGTTAGTCTCTTAGGTTTTTTTAAACTAATATATATCAAATCATGATTAACAAAGTTATACAACTCATTAAATTTCAAATATACTTTTCTATGGACACTAACGTATTTGTGTTAAAAATCAAAGAAAAAAACCATAGGCTTTGTGGAAGTTGCCAAATTCCATTACTTTCTTGAATCTCCCTAGGAACTTAATCTTCTAGCATTAAGTCATCTCTGTATCATCTATTATACAACTGCCAGAACTGTCATCTGAAAGAGACTCTAAAGCACACACTTTACTTTTTCTTTAACAAAAACCCTCAGTGTTTCCACTGTGTGTATACAGTGAAACTACAGTTTATAAAACAGCTTACTTCATTATTCAGACCAGTTGTCTTGTTAAGATTGCGAGAAATGCATATCCATGGATATGAATGGACATGAACACATTGTAACCTGCTGAACACTGACCTAGAACATGTCCAGAGATTTTTATCAAGTGATTCAGGTGACTCATGCATATTGCAATGTGACAGTGAGACATAAGAATATAACAAGCATTCTAGTATATTTATAATCTGTTCTGAAATCATATCAGATGTTCTTAAACCTCAAATATGCCAAGCATTTTACAATTCCCATTTATTCTCCATCCACTCAAAGCTGTTTAAATGACTCAAATACCCACTTCCTTCAAGGGTTTCTAGTCTACCGCTACAGTACATGTATCTCCTCACTTTTCCCCCTGTTTTCCACACAGTTTTGGTCCATTTCAATTCATTTTCTTTAGGCCATTTTCAATAATCCACAAAATCAGAATAAACCAAAATATGTGACTTGTGCTTTTTTCTTAGCACCTAATGTATTTCATAGTTATTTTATGTCTTCTGCGACCCATGTTAACTGATGGTCTGCTTGAAAAATACCCTCCCCTGCCACCCTGCGTGAGGACTGAAACCACCAGGGCCTCACACAAGCTAGGCAAGCACTGTATCACTGAGCTACATATATCTGCAGAACCTTGAGCGTTTCTTATACATGAGATTGTTGACAAGTCCAAACAGAAACCCAATAACCAAAAATCATACTAACATTTTAAGAAATCAGTGCTATAAATTATTAAAATGAGCAAATATATTAACTAAAAATATATTTTAATAGCACATACATTTTAAGTTATACTTTATATAATCAACTTTGGTCTTAAACTATAAAATATGTAAGCAAGTTCATTTTATAAAGAAAATTATTTTAAATAGGAAAAGAAAAACATATTTACTTGTTGAAACCCCAGGTAATCTTGTATAGTAGAGGAAACATAAAAGACTAAAGCATCTGTAGTGACAACCAATACAAAGCCATTCAGAGCCTAGAAGGAAAAGAGTTATAAAATTAGTATCATTACTCATACATACTGACTTCAGCTAAAAAAAAATCTCTTTACAATGATTAGACACCTTACACCTCAAAAATAGACAAAAGTAGACCTTTGAAAAGAGAACTACACTTTGGACAACAGCCCTCACTCAGGACCTGGGAGCAAGTCAAGGCCATTCTATTACTGAGGCAACCAGAGGCCTCACTTACACTGTCCTACCCAGCACAGGCCTGGACCCTTGAAGACCCCAGCCCCGTGACTCCTCGATGCCCCCATGCCAGCAGAAAGTAGCCAGAAAAGACCACGATTCCCTCTACCTTTTATACTCCTTCAGGTTCCAAATGATGGCAATCTGCTTTATTCTCATAACTCCATGTTACTCCCCTAAACCCAATTCTTTTTATGTATCCAAAGAGCCTATATGAAGAACTTGCCTTTCTCCTCTTGGCCCAATCATTTTATGTATCTAAAGATGGAATATGAAGGATTGAACCCCCCCCCCCCCACCCTATTGTCCCAGGCCCATACAGAGCCAGGCAAAATCCCAGGTATGTGTGAACTCGTTTGAAGTTCAGGCAGGGCAATCCACCTACGTCCAGCTGTAAACATCCATTGTGGGCCCAACTGAAAGGCCCCCACCTTCCTTGACCTAGTGGCTTTTTCATTAGCCTCTGCCTCCTTGCTCAGACCTCCTATAAAAACCCAGCTCCTGTCCCAACTCTTGGACACAACCTCCAAACCTGCGGGAACATCTATGCCCCTCACTGTTCCTCAATAAACAGTTCTCACCTGTTAATAATAATAAAAAAAAATAGACAAGGTACATGACTGCAAAACTTTATTAATGTTTGACTTGGCCAAGGAAAGCTTACAGCCAAACTTAAAGCTCAACCACTGTACTAATTTTTTATATCAAATATATAAAAATCTTCACTGTCATCTATCACACTGCTCTACTTAAAGGAGAATATCAGGAAACAATGCTGACTAGCTCCTAAAAGAGATGAGTCTAGATTGGAAGAAAATTCCTTGGTAGATAGACACTTCAAGTGTCTTTAAAAATATTTCAAAGAATTATAAACATAGTTTATTGGAAAGTACATCAAGAAGTATACTTAACTTATAAATAACAATACTATTATTCTTACTCTGTTTTCCTGACACAGGATATGCTGTATAATTTGCCTAAATAATTTTAGGGCAAGACAAAAATCATTAGCTATATTTTAAACCAATTTACTGTTATATCAATTGGCCCATATTTTTCTTGAAATAAAGGATTTCATTATTACCTTACTAAATAGCCTAAATGTACTTAATTACCCTGAACAACAAAGTATTAGAAAATTTCCTGTGATCTTAACAAGTCTTTGTTTTAATTAGCATACCTCAGCTGGTAGTGCACAGGGCACTCATGTTTAAATATATCCAATTTATTTAACTTAAGGAAGCCCAGTTAATTTTTACTATCTGGAATTTGGACATGATTACAGAACTGAAATAACAATGTTAAGAATTATACACTACACTCTAATTGCCACATCTGAGCAGGCACTGATTGAACTAATGGACCTACCAAAACTTATGCTAACTTTTGTCACAAAAGCAAACCAAATTCTTCCATTCAGTTGGTTGTACTGAAGTGAAAGCGATGAGGTCGCAGTAACACTCTGTGTCCTAACACAGGTCTTCATTTGATCTCATTTCAACAAAATACACTTCAGAGAACTCTCAGAGCATGAAAACATATTTGAATAGCTCCTCAAGTTCTAAATCAGAGCTTAGGAACAATTTAAATTTTCACAAATCTATGTAATAGTCTCCAAGTCTAACGCAGATAAGATGGCTTGCATTTGTTATTAATTGCACAAAAGAAATGTAAGCTACAAGACAACTTACTAAAAAAAGAAAATTCAGCTTAAAATAATGCTTAAGTCTGGAATAAATGCACTAAGTTTTTGGTTGAGCTATATTTTTGCAGAAAGTACCTATAAATCCAATGTCTTATATAAAAATCTGTAAACTAGGTGAAGACATACTCTTGTCTGAAGGGATTACAACAGAGAGGTGACAATCAGACCTCTAACTCACTTGGTCAACCTAATTTCATTTATCATGTACCAGCATAGTGCACAGACAGGATGCAAGACACTATGTGAGTCCTAAACAACTGGAAACAGTTAAAAAGACTAACTTCTCAGGAGCAATTGTCCTTACTTTGAGGAACTCTATTTACTAAAACTTACTTGTAATAAGAATTCTCCTTCTTGCAAGTTCATGTCTCTGAATTTTGCTGTACAATTATCCTGGATTCCATTTCTGTCCACGAAGGAAGACTTTAACGCAACTATAGAAGAAGAAAAGAAAAAAGTAATGCTATATCAGGTATATTTGTATTTAAGCAGTATAAAAAGGCTATCAAGAAAATATCTAAAAGGACAACTTGAAATACTATGTATATGTTTAGGTCTTTAAATTTTAGAAGGCAACATAACTGGAGTAATATCTACAGTTACCATTTACTTAAGCTTTTTATCAAGCACTTTTAAGCATAACCTTATTAAAAGCATGTGTCTACAGTATCTGACAGAATTGCCATTTATTAAATGTGTAAGCTCTTTGGACCTGTTTCTTGATGTAAGAAATGGCAATTTAATAATAATTTTACAAAATCCATCCTTAGTGTGACAAGTAATGAGAATATACCAGAAATTCCTGGCACACAGCAGAACAACAGTCAATAAATGAGTCTTTAATTATTAGCAGCACTCTCAAGAACTTAAGGACTGCCTATTGATAAGGTGTATACGAAATACATTTTGTTGGCCCTCTCCCTTTCTGCGGATCCCTTTTTAAACCTGTGATACTTACATACTGACTTGGCAATCATATTAAGGTTTCTTATTTCATTAGATTTTTTTGCATGCCAAAATAATCTGGCTCAGTAAAAGAGATTTATGAAGAATCAGATTTTCTCTCAGCTTGAATAAAGTTATCACATAAAATACTCTCATGTTTGCAGGGTATTTTCTGGTAAGTCATCAGTGTGTGTGTCATAGCAGAATCATATGCCAAGTTCTGGCTGCTGCAGGAGTTGAAAGATATCTCTCTAAAAGAAGAAGCCAGAAGGCTGGCCTTTGAATAAAAAAGTTTCAAAAGGCCAGAGTACAGATTTCCTTAGGCCAAAAAAATAATGTGAGATAAATTGATCTAACAGTTAGTTAATCAAGACCAAAGGAAATACTCAAATGTTTCTCATCAAAAGGAAGAATAGAGTGAGAACAGCCTTTTCTTCTTTTATGTTCTATGTTATTTTGTTGTTTCTTGCTTTTTTATGGCCAAATTTTCTTGAATGTACTAAAACCTGACAATGCCAATTAACTATACTCTGCAACTTCGTCAAATGCTGCAGAGTATGAGACACAATTAAGGAGGTATAACAAAACTTGTTAAAAAGAAACAAGAAGTAACCAAAACCTCACATTATAAAATCAACAAGTCTAAAAGTAATGAGAAATTTAGAATGTCTAAATTATCCTGAGGAATCTTGAAATCAATTTTTAAACAATGGACCTGATGTCTGTTCCAGAGTAACTGACAGGAAAAAAAGATAAAATAGCACAAAGAAGTAACTTCCTGATCACTGACAAGTTCAGTAAGAAAGAGATTTAAATTATGATTTGTTCTTTGGCTTCTATTGAGGGAACTAGAAGACATATGGAAGTAGACACATAGAAGGCTCTGCCTTTATGTTAGACATATGCACTATGAAAGTAAATAACTAGAAAAGAATGTCAAAATACGAAGTGCCGAAACAGTATTAAAGGAACTTAAAGGTGAGAAACAGTAACAATGCTTACAATTCTGAATGCAAAAGATGGCATCTTTAATATGTAAAACTACTGCTTAGGTGGGAACCATGATAAATGCATTTTAGAGATGAGGGTTTTACTAAAAACAATTCTTGTTTTGTCCTCTTGGTCATCAATGCGGTACAGAAGTGAATATTGTGCAAGAATGAGTCCAAAGGGGTACACTCACTTCCCAGAATCATCTAAAAAACATGTTTGCCTTTTGCAGAAAATTCACTGTATGCTGGCCTCTCAACCTAACCACGCAATATTTACCCTTCTGTGAAGTTTCCCCTCCATTTCTTGGTTTCATATCTATTCCCTTAACCTTCTTAAAATTACTAGCAGGTATATTAATTAATACTATTCACTTTCATGTATATACTGCTTGCCTTGATCAGAAAGCAATGGAAGCGCTAGAAGGTGACATGAAGTCCTATCACAGGATTGTTTCCTGCCCCCTGATTTTAGTTTCTTAATAATACTGCTCTTTATGCCTATCACTTCCCATATTTGGTATCTTGAAAGTCCACAGTAGTCCTATGAGACTGGCAGTTTTGTTCTTTTCATATAATAGGACCTGAGACTTAGGGAAGTTTCCCAGGGTAACAAAACCTTAAGTGATACAGGCTGGGCAAAAAACCAGGTTGCCGGAGCCAAGTGTGTGGGCGATGCTGAACCACCTCTCAGACTTCCCACTGCGCTAACCTTCTTTCACCTTCAGTTTCCTCACCTTTAAAGGAGGACAATGCTAGCCCTCTGAGATAAATTCTATTAAGGGTAAAACAACAAGTAGAATACTTGGAAAATCTCTGGAGACAATCACTGACAGTTAAGGACAAAGACAATAAACTCTGATGATTTTATTCAACCTGAGATCACTTAAAAACTTCCAATTGCATATTGGGGCTTAACTGAGTGATTTCTTATCTTTAAATGGAGAGCATAAACAAGTTCCTAACAAAACTCTTATGATGACTATATGATATAGATTGAAGTACTCCAAAACTACAAGATAATACATAAATCATATGTACAATCAGATACATAAGATATTTTAAACACTACAATACAGGAATTAAGTATGCAACAGTTTGTAAAAACAAAACAGCCTGGTGTGGGTGGCTCAGGCTGTAATCCTAGCTATTCAGGAGGCTAAGATCTAGAAGTGAAGCTTTGGCTCAAGGGGCAGAGCACTAGCCTTGAACACAAAAGCTCAGACAGCTCTCAGGCCCTAAGTTTGATCAGAACAAAGAAAAAAAAGAAAAAGAAAGAAACAGAGAGAGAGAGAGAGAGAGAGAGAGAGAGAGAGAGAGAGAAAGGGAGAGAGAAGGAAGGAAGGAAGGAAGGAAGGAGGGAGGGAGGGAGGAAGGGAGGGAGGGAAAGCAAGAAGCAATACCGGAAATATTTCTAGTCATGCAAACTGTGAAGGTCTATCCTAGACCAACTAAATCAGAAATTTTACAGAAGGACCCACCATTAAAATTAAAAAGCCCTTTAGATGAATTCTAACGTCTGTAAAAATTTAATTATCACGATTTTAGATGTTTAGTTATAATTTGTCTTTTAAAATGCTGTCATTTTGGATAATACAAGTCAACAACTGATTCTCCTATTTAGAAAGTATCTGCTATAGTCATTATATTCACTGGACATTATATAACAAAATAGATTGTACTATAATCTATGTACATTATGTAAAAAATAAAATAAATGAGAGGGCAAAAATAGAAGAAAACAAAGAAAAGGATGATACTGACCAAGAAGCATTGTACTTATAATCTGGTTTTTGAAATTGTAACTCCTCTGTTCAACTATTTAATAACAACAATTTTTTTTTGGGCAGTCGTGGGGCTTGAACTCTGGGCTTGGGCGCTATCCCTCAGCTCTTCAGCTCCAGGCGAGAGCTCTACCACTTGAGTCACAGCGCCAGTTCTGGCTTTCTAGTGGTTTATCGGAGATAAAGAGTCTCACAGACTTTCCTTGCCCAGCCTGGCTATGAACCACGACCCTCAGATCTCAGCCTCCTGAGTAGCTAGGATTACAGGCGTGAGCCACCGGTGCCCAGCAATAACAACATTTAAAAAAAATTATCTGCTATACAGTGAGACAATTGTAAAAATCCTCCTGATCAACAGGATATATACCACTTCCAAAGTGAGAAAAATACAAGATATCACACATACAATGCTAAGACATTCCTCAGTAAGAAGCCTGTGAAGCAATAACACAAAACAAGAATTTAATCAATGATGAAATTTACAGTATAAATACATTACAGTAATATCGGATTCAATTTTAATTAATTCATCCATTTTCCGTTTTCTAATATGGTCCTTTGTTTCCATACCTTTAAGCTCAGATTTCCATTTCTCTCCACAAGCCAAGTATTTCATCCTCAGAGAACATGCTTTGAATTGTTTGAGAGAAAATTCAAGAAGAAGAAATACTGGCTTATGGTAAAACTATTTTGCGTTTTGTAACTATAGCTTGTGTTTAAATAGACACATGACATGATAAATCTTGTCAGGGAAAAGAACATGTCTTAAATCTCAAATCACTGATGTGAATTCAATTTATTTTACAATAGTATTTATCATCCCCTTTATTACTTTGGCAAGAAAAGTTAAATTCCATTCCCACACTGATGTAAGCACAGAAGAACACTGAAATGGCATTATAAAATTCAGCCAAACATACAAATTTTTATACAATAGAAAGGGTATTGCAGCATTTCTTAATATAAGGAAAACATTCCTAGTTTAGTTTAGCCTGGTTCCAATGACTATATACATATAATTTCCAAATAACAGATTAAATATATGTAAAAGGAGTTTCTTCTATATACACTGAAGTGTAAGATATTACTTTAATACATTAAGTTTTATTCGGAACTGAAGTATTTTCTTTTGAAGGACGGAAAGAAAGAAGAAACTACAATTTAACTACAACCAGGTTACAGAGTAAACTCCTAGGGAACAAAGATTTGTTCTACATAGTTTAGAGATTTCTGATAATACTGATGGATTTTTCTTGCTGAGTACAAATTTCTAATTACCAAGGTAGAATTAAAGTTCAGCTTTTCAAATGCAGCAGCTGCTATGGCACATGCCTGTAATCTTAGTCATCAGGAGGCTAAGACAGGATATCAAGTTCAAGGACAGCCTACGTTACATAGCAAGTTTGAAGTTACATAGAGAGAACCTGTCTCAAAAAAACCAAGGGTTTGCTAGCATGCATAAGAACCTAGGTTTGTCCCTCACACTGTGAAATAATAACAATAGTAATGAATAATATACTTGTGATCATAGGATGAAAAACTGGTAGTTACTATTGTTTTTAGCAAATACACACAAACATTTTCAAGCTGAAAATGTCACTAAAAGTCATATCCTAACTCTCAAGTGGAAAGAGAATTCTAAAGCTATTACTTAACCTTTTTCTATTACACATTCAATTATATTCAACTCCTCTACAAGAACATATTAATCTCTGC